TAAAGGTGGTTGAGAATGACCGAGCTGAGATCCTGTGGGATTTTCTGGAGCTCCTCTCTGAGCCCTTCGTACTTCTCCAGCTTCTCGTGTTCCTGATGTTGTTGTCTCTTCATGTCGCTACATCTATCACTACGGCTGTCTTTGTCTGCTTGTGCATGAGGGCAGCAAGTGATTAGCATGACAAATATTCAGTGACGTATAAATGTAGGTGATTGCAACACATGATCATTTTTTATTGCACTGTGGAGTTTTTCCTGGAGTTTTGTCATAACACAAAATAGTTGACAAATCTCAATATGACCATTTCATTTGGCCAACAAATATACTAATGTTTCTGCCTCATGGTCTTCATCAGATCATAAAACCAAAAAGGTTTTGGTAATTTGTGGAAATAAAATCACACGATAATTCGCCTCCTGGTCTCACATCCAACAACGCAATAACAGTTACACAAACACAGCAGTGTGATTGCGTCTGAGGTTATATTTTGGATTGACTGATCGCTGGAAGAGTTACATGTTCATGCTCAGCGAAACATAGAGTTGCAGAGCGGCCTTGTTTGGCCCCAGGATAGTGTTTGGCTATGGCATTCTTCCCAGTATGGATGGCTCCCAGTACGGATGGCTCCCAGTACGGATGGATGTTTTATGTTCTGAAATTTATTGTGTGCTCTTTGTTTGTCCAATGTAAACTTGGACACAGAAGCATTTAAGAATGTAGATGACTGCTGTTGAATTGCAGTCATGTTGTACATTGTACTGCAGAATAGATTAGAAGTATAATGAGGTTTGGTAGCATGTCTGCCACTGCAGGAACCTCAGCGTAGACACAGAGGAAACAGTGTTTGCAGGTCATTGCATGGTTGTGTGCCGCTTTGTACGACGGTGCCCAGCTTTAGGTTGCTGTTAGAGCTTCGTCAGGAGTGACCCTGAGGCATGGGATACACATCAAACTGTGACACCTCTGTCTTGCTGTGGCAGTCTACACAGAGCTGTTAGACCCATCTTTCTTCATCACAAGAACAACATGCTCTCTGTGAGCCATCTATTACTCTCATCTCCAGCACAGCATGTTGGGTAATCTATAGGACCCTGGGTCCATCTCATCTCTGCCTTTCACCCACACCAGGGTGTCTTCTCCAGTGCAGGTGTCACGCCTCATTGTCACATAATGCTATGACTGTACTGCATCAGTGCACACCATGTGACCATCAATTTTTAACACTTGGTTGAGGCCAAGCTATTGTGTCATCACAAGACTGCTTCCATCATCGTGGCACAGACTCCACATGACCCTAACTATCATGAGTGCACCCTGAACTTCTCCAGGACCACCTGAACTATCATGTGCATCTCTCACTCAGATGTCCCTGACTGCAGCCTCCTAGCTGATGTGTCATTGGGCTCCTGGGTGAAGGCTAATAGCCGATCTTCTCTCCCCATACAAGAGTCACAGAAGCAGTGAGGATGTCCTCCAGGGAGATGCATCTCAAGCTACTGTTGCTGCACTGCTACCCCCTCCCAGGCCATTGTGGCCAGCTCTGCTGCAATCTGTGCATCGCTTGCAACAGCCTCATGGGACGGGGCCAACGTCCTAGTGTTGAGGCTACCTGGAGATGTCTGCCATTGTCGAAACGCCGTGACATAAACAGACGAAACAGCACTTCCAGATCATTACATGATTCATCGTGGTTTCACAAAGATTTTGCACTGAGCTGCTTTGTGCAACACTGACACGTTAGCTTCAGGTTGCTGTTGCAGCTTCCTGCTGCCATCTCCAATCACCACGGCGGTCTGGCAAGGAAGGAGAGGCTAGCAGGTCCCGCAGGCATGCAGCGTGGACGTTAGCTGGGCAACTTGGAGGCCAGTCAGTTAGAACAACAGACTTTTATTTGGCATTAACTGAAGACCATAAGATCACACAGCAAGGTCTCCACGGCTCTACGCATTCATACAAACATGTTCCAGGGTTAGGTGGTTCCTGCCGCCAGCCCGTTACAGTGGTGAGGTCTCTCTAAAACAGATGCACGGAGAGCAGCGTGCTGGACTGTAATGGCTGCCCCCGCCCTCACTGTAGGAGACTCCAACTACTACAGTAATATGACGACACCCCGTAGAGGTGCTATGCCATAATAAGGGTTGTTACATCACACACATCTGCCCCAGGGCACTACTGTAAAATAGGAGACACAACTGGCAGCTGTGCCAGTCAGACACCCTTAGCACTGCCCCGAACCAGGAAACAAACTCTGTCACGACAGGACTGTTTGAGTGAAAGGATAAATGAGCTCTCAAAATGACAGAGGGGGAGATGGCTCTCCTTTTAAGATGTGCCAGTGCCAGTTATGTTTCTGATTGCAATGGTTAAACTCAGCGATGAAAGTCATTCTTTCTTTGTGGCAGTTGGGATTTTAGAGCATGTTGATGCTCTGTCGATGATGGAGGGATGGTTCTTTCTTTCTTTGGATCTTGATTTCCTCTCCTTTGCCACACTGTTCCTCCTAAGGCGTGTCAATTGCTCACCCTGCCATGTTTTCCATGGTGTTGCTGTAGACAAGAGTTACTTTCCACCGATTTCCACAGAGAAATGGTTTCTGTTTAACGATGGCTACATCTAAAATACTTACAGTGTTTAAGTCACATGTCATTGCTACATCTTTCTCTTTGATCTGAGCCAGTTCACATTAGTGCTGTGGATTGTCTCTTCCTCCCACTGTGCCACAATCAGGGATACATGTGTTGTAGCAGCTGCTCCCCTTAACCTGTACAAAAGCTGACCTGAGATAATTATCTGGTAAAACTACAGTGAGCATTTGTAAAAATTTGAATAATTTGTTGGAGTGTCGTTGGGAAAGATATAAAGCTGTTTCATTTGGGATCCAATCATAGACTCTTCCATGGATACGAGTATTGTGGGATTGTCTACAATGTAACCTTCCACGCAGGTTAGTGAATCTTTTTCTTTCTTTCAAGAAGGACGGAGTTGATGCTACAGTATCATTCAGGTAATCCACACACTTTGCTAGAGCTTCTGTGGATTATTCAACAGCTCTCGGTGGGAATTATTTACATTTTTGCATCTTTGGATTCCCATAAATGACTGAATATTGTTCTGAGTAAAATTCAATCTCACAGCGAGATCCACAGACATTTAATTTAGTGGATGACTTCTAAGCTCTTCATAGTTCTCTCAACATTCAAAAGCATCTGAGTCCACTAACAGTTTACATCCATGATCATAATCACCCCTCTAGTCTGCATATTGGATTTCTTTATTTGACTCAGTTGAAGCATGAAGCTCAGCCCTGACGAGCTATATTTTAGTCCTCTGCCTCTTTTATTTATGTTTTTTTGAGTAGTTGGATCTTCTAAGCGACTCGTTTTGCTGTTTTTGGTTTAAAGGGGAATTCAAGCCCAGGTTGTTTGCACATTGCTTGTTCATTCCAAGGATTTTCAAGGACTTCAGTACTTTTGTATTCATTTGACCATTTTGACATTTATTTTTAAGAAACAGCTTTCACAATTGTGACCAAAATGACACATTAAAAACATCAGAAACACATCACAGCAGGCAGCAGTGATGTGTAAAACAAACAGGAGTGGGTCGTATGTGTGAGACAGCCAGCTTGTGTTACAATACAAAGCTGAGAATGTGAGGGTGCTTTGGTGATGAGGCTTCACGGTGTGCAGCGTGTCTCTAACGAGTCAACGCAAAGATGATGTGATGCTAGCATCATGTCCATGTGCTCAGTACCTTCTTTGTGCAGAAATGTTATATTTTCCTAGTTAATCTGCTTTAACAACAACAATGAAAATCATTTTTATTCTTTACTTAATTTAAACATGTTGTACATTCTGTTTTGTTTCTTCCAGAATTTTTATTAAAAAGTTTCACATTTTTACTTTCATAGTAAGTTGGATATTTTATTTTATCTGTGTGTATATTTATTCATTTTTTTTGTATTTTCACAGTTGGTTTAATTATTTTAAACTAATATTTTTGGTTATTAAACAGGTAAGTTGGTGCATTCCTGAAGCCAGTGAATTCTGACAGTGTTGATGGGGAATCTTGCTGCTGACAAAATGTTTTCATAATGACTGTCACATTTTTAGTGCTGTTATATGGAAAATCTAAAAAGGTTTCCCATCACTGTTACTCTCAGCACTGCAGTATAATTGGTATATTTAATGTAATGTAATAAAAAACGACCCCCTGCCTTCAGTTTATAGAACTGATAGGAGGCTTCATTGTGTTCTTTCCACAAGGAATAAATAGTAAACATGAAACACAAATGCAAAATTAATTGTGTCCTCTCTTGCATTAAGTTCTACAAAAACCATATGGTACTCTTAGCAGTTAATTTAGGAAACTTTTTTAACCACCAAACACTGATTTTTTAATTTTTTTTTTACGATAAAATGTAATTTACGGAGTAAGTATTTTCCACACGCAGTGCACATTTGAAGCGCAAATATGTGACCGGACTGAAGCAGCCAGCTGCGCTGGGTCCACCAAGCTCAGTATTAATCCACTAAACACGGGGCTCTGCAGCAGCGAGGCCCCGCGATAGAAAATTCCTTCTTTAAATTCCTTTGGAAACCTCACTGTCACAGTTTGAGATTCAACTGCACACTGCTGCATGAAATGATACCTGCGGGAGAATAAAGACAAAGTAGCTCTTAGTACTTAATGAAGGCAATCTCCATCCCATTGTGATGCGCATTTATTCAGCCTCGTGGCATTTAAGCAATCTACGGGATCAGGCTTACCGAGCCGGTATGTCCTGTGGTCACTGCCACAACCCCAAACTGTAAGGTGTAGGCATCTAAAGGACTGGAGCCTCAGTCTGAGCTGACAGTCGCCCCGCTGGGGGAAGCTGCAGACGGTGAGCCTTCAGTCCGGAGCGTCCCCCTGTTGCTTTAAGCAGTGCGTCCTGCCGTCCGACAGGAGGCGTGTCTCCCCCACGGCCGGAGCTCAGCGCTACCAGATGAGAGCGCGGGGGAAGCGACACGGTTCTTCCATAGAAACAAATCAACTTCTTTGTGCTGCTTTGATGACTCTTCTCTGCTCACGCTCTGTCTGAGGTAGGCACGCTTTTTTCTCCAAACTTTACACTTATTTCACGATCCTCTGGATTTGTTCAGGAACAGGTCAGGTCGTGTGGAAACAGATCAGAGCCAGGTAGAAGCTTTTTCGCGTCGTTTTCCAACCTCCGCCGCTGACGCCTCAGGCGCGGTTTGAAGTTGGTCCGTGCACTTTATCCAGACACCTTTAGAAAGAACGATGTCCATGTCTCAAACACGGCTCGGATTTGTGCTTCAGAAACTCTGAAGGAAAGTGACCTCCCATGTTTATGCACGACCTCTGTGTAGAGACGCTTGTCACCTTACGACTACCTCCTCCTCTTTCTCCTCGTTCTCGGCCTGGTGCTCTTACTGCTGTGGGCTCGTAAGACATTACAAGGGTCGTTAAATTTCCACCATGATCCACTTTATGAATGATCCGTAAATAACGTCTCTAGTTCGCGCGGTTTGATGGAAACTCAGGAGATGAGCCGCACATTTGAAACCCACAGTCCACAAGCGCATTAGCTGTAAATCAACTTTATCATCGGGCAGTGCTGCCGGTGGAGAGGCTCCCCTCATGCGCTCTTTACGCCCTTTCCAAATGCACAAAGGGACATTTGTTGACCTGTAAGTCTGTCTGTGAAAATAGGAGAGATCCGGATGAGTCTGTGTGCTGGTGCCAAGTGTGAGGTCATTTTTACCTGTACAGTCCAGCACTTCTCTACATTAGTTTGCAAAGCTGCCTCTTGTTTTTCTCCCGACCTTTGTGTCCAGCTTTTAACTCGAGGTTGTAATTTCCTTTTGATTTAGCAAACATAGTAACGTCCTGTGAAATCTGAGGATGAAATGACAAACAACGTTACAATAACAGCCAATAGTAATACAGCAGTAATATCAGTTATTTGGTGTGACAGGTGAGGTGTAATGGCCCTCACACAATATTCACCAGAATCGTTTTACATTTACCTTCTGCACACCCACCTGCATGTCTATAAATGGCGGGCACAGCAGTAGTTTTCTGTGTTGCCTACAAAAAATGATTGCAAATATGGAATCAGACGCTTAGGAGTAACAGGATAACCCTGACCCAAACTATGGATCATCAGTCCAAACAGAACATCTCTGCTAATTAAGGAGGCAAGCGAGCAGAGGAAGCTGGCATCATAACGGGAGCATATGTGAAAGCCAGTGATCTCCTGCTGAAGCCTCGGTGAAATCAAGCCTCTGTTCGTGGTGCTGAAACACACTCGGAGTATCTCCTGCTTTAACACACATTCTCCGTTCAGGTGCTGAAATAGCCGCAATGAAAAGCTGGATGTGAAACACAGGCGGTGTCTGCGCTGTGGAAAACTCAAAGCCAGACTAAAGTCCGTGGCCTAAACGTTAAAGCCCACGGAGAAAGTCCGTGTTAGCACTCCGTCATCATTACCTTATTTACCTTGTATTTTCAGTAGTTAGCAGCTGGGATTGGAGCGAATATATTTTTATTTAATGCATTTTAAATTATCCCCACTTCCGTACACCTTCACCGCGTCTGCGTTTATAATCTATAAATTTCGGAAATTATGCAGCACATTAATATGATGACTGAAATTCTAACTGAAAATTTAGAAACAAATACATTTAGTTTTTTGGGGCTTTTTTGCCTAAAAATCCTGTAACTGTTGTTAAAATGTTAGCTGAGTATATTGTTTCGTTTCTAAATGCCATCCGAATAGAGAGCGTTCCAGTCACACGGACTTCACCTTCAATAATTCTGTGCTGCTATAAAACGACAGTGCCTCCAGAGTCAGGCACGAAACACGTGAAATGTAAATTTGATATCGAGGCTTGTGTCTAACAGGTTGCCCAGTCTCGGTCTGAGAAGAATGAATTTCTAAAAAGGAAAAGTAATTCCAAAGACAGAAGTCGAGTGCTGAAACACCGGCGCGCCGAGCGCAGCCTATTCATCACGCTGAGTTACAGTGACAGCTTTGCTTCACACATGGAGCCCACGCAGTCCGTGCTTGAATGACTTCGATCAAACACTGGCGATCATTTCGAATTCATGGCTTGGCTTTTATGGGGCTGTGCACGACGGCGTTCGGCCGACGCAGATTAAGCCGAACCGGAGAAACGTCAGCGCGGCGGCTGGCAAGCTGGCCGGGGATACAGCAGGGAAAGGAGTGCGGGAGGTATGGCACTTTGGGTAGGGGACACAGATCCAAGAGTGAAGTGTGAGCAGCAGTATACCCCGTCCATCCTATGCGCTCGACGTCAGATGCTGTGCGGCAGTGCAGCGGGAGGAGCTCGGACTGGGGAGGCTGCTCAGACCGCTTCACTGTCTTTCACTCTCACTTTGTCACTTCGGTAACACCCCCCCCAGCCCCAACTCTCACCCTCTTCTATCTCTTCCTTTGTCTTTCAGTAAATGGATTTCCCCGCCTAGCATGGATGCCCCGACACCACCACCTCCACATTCACCATCCTTTTCCTCAGCTGAGGGCTTTTTCTTCTTGGCGCAGTGAGCTGGACTCGTACTGATTTTTCCCCTCTTGCCAAATGGATGTGGGAAAACCGCTGCTCAGCCCGCTGGTGAAGATCATGCCTTGATCTTACAGCTGCCTGAATTCACGTCGTTTGGGTTAAAGAGAAAACAATACAGAGGAATATACCGATCCAGGGATTTAAATCCAGCGCACCAAACAAGCACCATGAAGATCCCCCACCTGATATTTAAAGCCAGGCTCAGGTGCACCGTCAAGCTTCTACTGCTGCTAACACACTGTGTGGGGCTTTTACATGGGATGCCACATGTCCTGAGATTTGGTAAGCTGCTTCTTTTCTGTCTTCTGTTCAAAAGTTTCACTGCTGTGTTTTCACCCCATAAATGATGTTGCTCCATCCCCACCTGTTGGAGACTCGCTGTTTCTCCCTGTCCCTGCTATGCTCTTCTGACTGTTATTTGCAGAGTACCAAGAAATTTGGCGTAAGGGTCGTGTGTTCAGAGAGTTGGCACAGACCTGCTGCACAGAACGAATTTATGAATGGCCCACAAGTTTAAGGGAGTGGGCAGTGTGTAACAAAATTACCAGCGTAAACATTCACAGATGTTAACAGGAGTGATGCGCTTATCCCACCCGTGTGTTTAATGAGGTGATTTCAGGTGTGATGTACTGATGTGGTGATTTTTGTGAAATTACACTTATTATTTCTTTTATACAAAGAATAATATTCATACACTTTAACTCCGTGCTGACGCTCAGAAACACATCTGGATGCTTTAGAATACAACAAAGGAACCACATGTGGTTTTTCTAACACATTCATGCTAAATGATACGCAGGCAGGACATCTTCCAACTCCCATGATTTTGTAGCTGCATCATTTTATTACATTAAATTATATTCTCGAATTATTTTAAATACAAGTTGAATTGACTCATTTACAGACTTGAATGCGATGCTTGCAAAAGCTTAAAGCCACTGATTTCACCGAACAGTGTGGCTAAAATAGTGACGAAAATAATTGAACAAAGGTCAACTTTTTGTTGAATTTCATCCATCAGGTCACGGTGAGGAACAGACGTAAAGCCACATACACAGACATACGCAGAATGCACAAAGTGTTTTAACATAAACGTGCTTCTTCTTAACAACATCACGCCGTTTATTCACTGAAAATAAATATAGTAAAAGGATCCTGTGTAATTAAAGCCACGGTGAACATTTCTTGAATTCATTAATAGGAAGTGATGAAGTACAAATTGATTTTCTGCTGGTGGAGCTGTGTTGGATTTACACGACACACGTGAAGAGAACGAGGAGACTCTGGGCTCGTCGGTGTGTCGTTGCATTACGCTGACTGCCTCCCACACTTATTCAGTGCACATGTAGAGTGGACACAGAATGCCCCATTAGCACCACAGTCCTTTACTGCTCTGTGATTAACCGGCCTGTGGGACAGGTTGTTGCTTTTTTGCCACCCGCCGGCCACTTGTGTGTGCTCAGGAGGCATCAAGCTTTCATTACAGAATGCAATGGACCTGCTGAAACATTCAGTGTAAGCACTGCATCAAACATCCATTAGAGTCTTTTATCCTGGGACAACACAAATGTACATTAATATTAAGCATGCTGTTTGCAGATAGGTGGGCAAACTTGTAAAAAACACACTAAATAACCAGCCGTCAAAATAAAGTTAAAGATGCTGCTGACGAACCGCAAAACATGCTTCCCCATGGTCCAGCTCATCAGCGTCTGTCAGTGGACACACTTCATATCCCTGCGTTTTGTGTTTGAGATTTGAATTTTCAGGCTCTGTGTCAGGAATGACGTCATGTTAGTCGCGAGACATATTGAGACTGTCACAGAAGACACAGGCCCAGTGATGACGACATGTAGAACTATAGGGGCCCATTAATTGCATTTTTTTCATGCATGTATTCCCTAAGGCTCAGTGCATACTGACGTTTTTCCCTTAGTCCTCCCATATAGTCAGATTTCACCAAATAGAGAGGTTAACCCTGCAAAAACTCAACTACAGTTACAGGTTTAATGCACCTTATTATCAAACAGCAAGGAAGACATGTGAAAGTCCAAAGTCCATACATGACAAAATTCTGGAATCACAGTGACTGTAAAGCATTAACAGTAATCATCATCATCAAATGATCCTCTCTGAGGATGATGCTGTTATTGCAGTCACCTTTGCTTGCAGCTTGTTTGTGAGTCGCCCTGCATAGCTGCACACGTATATGTACATAGAGACGGGAAGAAACCTGGTGGTTAAAACAGAGCTAACTAAGATATCAAACAAGCAGATGAAATAAAACAGGTAACGGCAGGAACACAGTCCCAAGCAGGTACAGCTTGTGGGATGTTAGCAGGCTAGATTTCATGAACATGGTGGGTCAGATAACTCCTGAACACTCGGTATTACTCCACACTTCAGCCTATGTGAGCTGGAACAGCAGTTACAGCAAGCAGAAGCTCACAAACAATTCAGCACATTTAAGAGTCGTCACTGTTAGAAATACACTCCCAAAAAACCAATAGAGTAAAGCTGCCGCGGCTGGTGTGCCCGGCTCCTGGGAGAGCAAACAGACGTTACAGGAACACTGAGTTCTTATAAAACCTTTGAAACAGAACTTTTAAACGCTTAAAATTATTTTTATCCAGCTGAGCAGAGAACAGAGACATTACATCGCAGCGAGACTTTAAATGTGATCGTGTGTCTTTTGAAGACAGACACATGCTGACAGAAACCTCGTAACTGAATTTTCCCATGGCCCATTGAAGCTAAAGCCCGAGTCGGATCAGCTGGAAGCACTGACCCGTGATGACATGGGACCTAGTATCTGTGTAACATTGACTCCAGCCTGCTGCCTCTGCTGAAATGTCCCAGAGTTTTGAGGAGATGTAATGCACACAGGTGAGGTCAAATTGGATTACCTGTGTGTGGAAGAAGTCACATTCAGGGGCACCTCACAGAAATACAGGGGCACTGTGTTTCATAGACACCAGTTTGCACCGTGCCTCTGTTATGTCTCCAGCATGGGTGTTGAGTATGTTGCATTGGCTGCGCTGGTGAGCATTAGTATGAAGGTCAGTGTTTAATGGGCCATACAAGCTAAATGCTGCAGGTCAGGGCCAGACCTCACTCCCCGACAAGCCTGACTGTCAATAAGTGAACAGAAGAGTAGACCTGGCCTGGGCCTCACTCATTGCAAATAAAATGATTTGCAGAGAACCAAAAGATACTTGAAAGTAATGCACAGCAAAGTGTGCTGTGCAATATCGTGTCAGAACCAAACAAGCTAATTAATGTAGCGTTAGGTGTGTTTTTCCAGGAATATGACTGATTACAGATGTCACTCCAAAAGCATTAAACTGTGTTTGGATGCTCAGCTGAAGGATGGGATTTCTTCCTGTTTCTATAAAGGAGAATGGCAGTCATGGAGGCTGCACAGACAGCCAGGAACTACGTCAAACATTTGGACCACGAGCAGTAAATGAGCTGCTCTCTTTATGGCCCACCACGATATTTACTCTGCGGCAAATAAAGTCTGTCGAGCTGGTGGTAACAGATGGTAGAAGAAGAGAAAGTCTGATGACAAAGAGAGTTAACAGAAGTGAAAAGAGTCTGAGAGAGTCACACATAAGGAAATATAGTCGTCTCTACACGGTGATAACCTGAAAGACTTCACACCCGATCCCGAGGGTGTCGTTAGATGAGCAGTGAAAAGAGGACAATCGTTCTGAGCAGCCTCTTTATGGCCTTTGGACATGGAGACGATGGACAGGACAGGCTGGTCCATTGTCCCTCTGTGGGGGGTTACTCCCACTAGGTTTATATCTGGGACTCTCCACCATTTGACCTTAGAACTGAAGAAGCTTCTCGGATGAGAGGTGAAACGTCTTCAAGCAACTTAAAGAAGTCCAGACGCTTTTCTTTACAAGCTCCTTAGACTACGATGACCTGGATGACTGAGAACCTTCAGAGTCACATGTATGAATGAAAGTGCAGTCCAATAATAATAATGTGAGCAAACACAAACCACAAGGTCAAATTTTTACGACAAAAACACGGAAAGTTAGAGCAACACTAGATGACTTTTTGTGACTATTTCATATAAAGCTGTGAGTAACTGGAGGAGTCCTGATGGAGCTTGGTTCTGCCTCTGAAACGTGTTTATTGTTGCGTATCTTTTCCATCTGCTTCTGGTTAAAAAGCTCATTCACAGAGTTTCCTCACTGGCACAGCTACCTCACCGGAAAAGTTTGAGTCATGAAATTTGCATTTTGAGATACTTATCTCACAATTTTGAATTCTGGATGACAAAACAAAATGTCAGTAATTGTGATCAGGAAGCTTCTACTCAGTCCCAGGAGTTTATGACATAGCAACATGTTCTCTGGTTATTCGTGTTTAGACACAGGAATTGTAACTTTCACTGAAATGTAAATGTAATTTAATACCTTCAAATTTAAAGATACCTAATTATTAATCTGAAATTTCAAGTTATCAGTGGTATTTTACTCAGGCGGGGAAACGAGCTTCCATAGTTCCCAGATCCTAAAAGGAAACATAGTGGAGTTAAAATCCCGTGAAAATTGCTCAAAGGCAGAAAGGCCGTCGAGTATTTAAACTGTGTGTCGACTGTAATGTGTCAAAGATTTGCATTTAGTATTTAGACATGACACACACACACACACACACACACTCGGAAAAGAGACAATATGATATAAGAGACTATGATGATTTTCATCTTTACTGTTTGGACGGCCACACTGGGATTGCTTGTACTGTTTACTGCGTGTGTTGTCACACTTTCTAAATTTGTGTTGCCACACGAGACACAACACTGCCAGCAAAACGCTGCAATGTATCCTCCTTGTGTTTTCATGGAAATGATGACATCAGCGATATTTCCTAGGCAACAGACCTGGTATACAGAAAATCCAATATAACACGAACATGAAGAGAGAGATAGATAATATATATATATATATACATATATAGATAA